AATCACTTTTGAATGAATCAAAACATATATACACAAACCTTTCACATTCCAAGCATTCAGAATAATCCGTCGGCTGTTCGGATCGTTTTTGATTTGATCGACAATTTGCGCCAACTGGTCGACACCCTGTCCGCGGTAGTCAGCCTCAGTACCTCGATAATCCGCACCAAAATGCCGCCACTAAAACATCCAACTCGAATTTCACTCATTCAAGCATACACCTCTCTACTCACAATAACACCATGCTTAGTTTACGTAATCAAAATCATTCTGCAATTCTTGATAGACAGTGAGCTATTTGGATGAATAAATCACCAAACCCCAACGGAAATAAACTTCTCAGGTCGGCACAAGAAAAACGATTCAGCGAATAAATAAAATGAGCTATCCCATTTGTCTCAGTTGCGATGAGTACGACATAGATTGGCAGTTAATGAAATATCGACAAAATTCGTCTCTTCCGTCCTATTGGTCAAGTCATTGCTTACTGGACTGTAAAATATAAATCTACTACAAAATTTCGGGAAAAATCTTCCATGAATAAAACTGTCCACTGGAAGCGTTCTCACCTGAAATCCATACAAAGGACCTAAATCGCCTTCAGGGCGGTCTTTGAAACCTCTGCCATCCAAGAATTCGCGAGATCCATTGGCATCCCAAATCTTGACATTCTTTTCTGACAAGTGCTTTGAGTTCGTATCACCACGAATAAACCACAACAGTTCTTCGACGATACCCGTCCAGTAGACACGTTTTGTTGTCAGCAATGGAACCACACCTTAAACGCAGCAGAGTAATGAATCGATAACATACCCTCTTTAATAATGCTGCTTCACATTCGAGAAGAATGCAGACTGCACACTTGGGTTTCTAAAATACAGTTATTTAGTTTTTCTAAAAGGGTATTTATGGAGTTTGAGCATGATAACGGCATTTGGATCACATATATTCACGTTCTCATATTGGATATCCGAGAATTCTCTTGTAATGCACCTGCTACCGCAATAGAGAAAAGTGGTGTGCTTTTTCGAGCTGAATAATTCATTTTGAACAATCCAACTACCCAAATCATTCTGGTCATATGGAACAATCTCGAGAAAACCATAATCAAAGCATAGGAAAACTGCAGCCATGAACCAAACTTCTCAATGAGGTGTATTGAAAACTGCTGCAGAATTAATGTAGATACAAGCAACGAATGCACTAAACTTAAGAAGTGCTAATCTACGAATGCTCCATGCTGAATTACTGGTTGGAACAGAACGAAATTTAATGAACAGAAAATAAAAGCATCAGACTAATGATAAAACTTCACACACCATTACGAAGTGAGTATGTGGAATGTAAACCAAAAACGGAACGTGTCCCTACACCGGTACGATCCACAAGTGTGTCACCATTCTCCATAATATATTTGATTTGTTGTAAATATTTATATTCATCGGGGTTGCTGCACATCTTACTGCTGGGCACATCACCGTTCACAGTTCCGTTACCCAACGCTGTATCACAATCCATTCTAGTGACGGTTAGAAGAAACTGCAAATAAACTTACCACATAAGGACATAACTTCAACATAACGACGACAGTCCATTTCAACTAACCTTGGAGGTTTCAGTCCGGAATCCAATCAGTTTTAGATGCGATAAACAATACATATTATCACCGAACACTGATAACCTCCTAATGATTAAGTTCACTAAGCAGCGAAAACATTGTGAAAATCCTGGTGAGCAATTAAAAAAGGATACAAAAACTGTAAAGGATCAGAATTTAGAAATCTCACGGCAAAACCTTCGTCACAAATTTGAAAAAATAACTGGATGAAAATTTATATCTTGCAAAATCGCGCCATCTCTATCTAATAGTTAGTGATCGTGTTGCCACTCACAACTGAGCTGGAATCAAGGTACGAATTTCTAAAGCAGTAAAATAATCGAATACTTGAGAATAGTTGAGGTTGTAAGTGGAGAACCTGGGGACAACCTATCGGAATTATTTATATGACACTTCGTGAGCTATGGCCTTCCCTGTCAACGCTAAGCGGCAATGTTGTATTTCAGGTTGGTAAAATTACAACAGCATTTCGTTCGTGCGAACATTTCTTGCTGTGCTTTAAGTAACATATTCAACTGCGAGTATGAAAGAAATGCCGTTTTGATTTTACCAACCTAAAAGACAAAATTACCTTATTAAAAACGACATTCTCTTTGGTGATATTCAATGATGTTGATGCCTACCCTCGGAATGCGCACGAACGTTCTGATTTCACCAACTCGTTCACGAATACTTCTGTCTGATTTCATTTTTCACTCATGATTTCGAGCGCCGAATGAACTGTTAATTTGTCGGACACATGCTGTAATAAATAATTTTTCGTCTCATTAACTTGTCTCGCAACTTTCAGCAATGAACGAGCCTGTAGTCGTTGTGGCTGAGTCAAAAGATTCTCTAAGTTTGAAAGTCAGTGATTATGTTCGAGAAATCATCGAGGGTTCGCTCAATGACCGGAAGTGTGCCACTGTAGCTCTCTCAGGTGTTTTCCATTCATTTGTACCTCCTTTCAAGTATTTATCACCGGCTAATTTTTTTTTGATTTATCTTGGACTTTAACGTGAACATCTTAACACTTTGATAAACTTCGTAATTTTGAAAGACGTCAACTTGAAGCGCAAACAATTTTCTGGCAGAAGACAAATCTTGTGTAATACATTTCTCCGATCAGTCAGTCCGCTCGATATGCGTGAATCAAAAATCCAAGAAGTGAACAAGATTTATATAGTCCAGCGGAAAATCGAAGTCATCATATTTTGTTGATTCGTTCAGGTGGTTCGATGCCTGCAATGGTTGCTCCTCTTTTGGCCAATAT